CGGGCCGGGGCTGGCTCTGCTGGGCACCGCAGCGCGCGTGGCCGTGCCCTGCGTGTCGCCTGCGCGTCCCGGCCTTCACCTCTGCGAGCGAGGGCCGTTGCCGTTCCGTTGTGTCGGCACTGCGGTAGTGAAACGTGGCCCGGTCTTCTCGGGGGTTAAGGATCCCTGCTAGGGTGTGAGGGTTCTGCTCTGGTCCTGCTTGGGTCCTGGAGACCCCGGGTGAGGAACCGGGACCACCTTGCGCTGCACTCATCTCCCTGCACTCCCTGGCATCTCCCAGGCAGCCTGGGTTTTGCTGCTCTCTACCTGCTCTTAATGATCGTTAGGAATCGCCAAAATTGTTTGTGTTTTCTCCCTTCTTCATCATGAAGACACCCAAGTCGCGGTCCGGCTTGGGTGCTGACACCTGGGAGCGGAGGCTGTGGAAGAAAATCCATCCCCACACAACGATGCCTCCAGCATTAAGGCCAGCTCTTTATCTGAGTGATGGGAAGCTGCAAACTTGGGGGTTCTGCCCGAGTTCCCGCCCCAGTCCCGCAGCTGGCGGCACATGGATTGCCTTGGGATGCAGCCCCCTTGCTGTGGTTGTGGCTGGAGCTGGAACGGGGGTCAGTGCTGCAGCTCAGCCCAGCTTGTTGACTGCTCCCCCGGTAGCTGTTTTGCTGCGAGCCTGGGAGGAATTGCACCTTGTCCCGCAGGAAGCTCTCTCCGGATATATTCCTGCAGGTTTTTATAGGTTTGGATTCAGTGCTGGGTATTCGGGCCTGGCAAACGCTGTTGTATGAACTTGAACTGTGGTTAGGAACGAGGGCGATGTGAGGCCCTCGGAGCTTGGGCTGTGGACTTGTCTCTGCTGGTGCGTGGTGCTGGTGCAAGGAGGAGGCTGTGTGTCCGTCCAGCACTCCTGGAGCTCTGTCTCCTGCGGCCTGCCCGGAGGTCGGGTCCTGCTGGGGACGTGGGTGCTGCTGTGACCGTTTCTGCTTATTTGTTTTTGCAGGGCCTCGCTCTGGGGCCTCAGATCAGAGCCATGCAAATCTCAGCTCGCAGTTTGCGATACGGTTCGTGTCATCTCATACCATGGTTTGCTGTGATCAATAGACTGTAACTTTGATCTCGGCTTTGAAATTTGAGAACAAGTGAGGCTTGTATAAACAGGAGGTGTCTCAGTCTCCAGCAGGAGACTGCTTCGTGGTAAGGGTCAGCGTGCACATCCTCCAAGTCTTTCTTTTCAGCTGTTGCAGATTGTGTTTCAGCTGTTGTATTTACTGTTGATGCACTCCACCTGTAAGCAGCTCCTGGTGCCCTGACTGGTGCCACCTGAAGAAGAGCAAGAACTGTGGCTCTAGGGGGCATCCGGAGACCTTCACAGTCTTGAGGCTTGGGTCTGCCACCCCCAAGGCGGGTGGATGTGAAGGTGACATTGCAGCTGCACGCTGCCAAGTAGCACTTTTCGAGCTGGCACATGGAGGAAGGTTTGTCCCCAGGGTGGGATTGCTGGGGTCTGAAGTCACTTTCATCTCCAAGCTCTTGGATGTTGCTGTGACTTTTTCTGCTAAATTAGTGGGGGCTTTTCCTCTTGGAAGTTTTCTCCCCATTTTAGCTTTGACGTGGAAGCCCCATCCCTGCTCTCTTCCCTTCTTGGCTAGACCATTTACATCAGGTTCCTTAAATCCTTGGCTTGTAGGAAAGTTTCTCAGAGTTGAATCCTTATTGATATTCCATGGACCTCCTGCCAATATTTCAACAGCCTTTTAAGGAAGCACGAGGAGCAGATTTAGTATTCCAGTCTTGAGCTTCCTAACTCAACTGCCTGAACGCGGGGCCAGCCACGTTTGCTGGGACATTGTAGCTCTGCCTCAGTTGCCTGTCTCCAATAATCCCTTGACCTCTTCTCTGCTGTCCTTCCATAATGGGAATGTTGTAATTGATGAAGGCAGGTTGGAGTTTGTTGCCCTAGGAGAGAGGAAGATGAATGTGAGCCTTTTGGGGGCCCCCTTGCTCCCAGCTGGCTCTCCTGCCACCGTCTTTACTAACAAAAATATGAAATTC